CCCACCCACCCACCTACCCACGATCACAATTAGTAGATTAATCATTGATACTATGAGAAGAGTTTCTTTATGCCATCTATGTTGAAGAACAAACATTCAAACACTGCAAACTTTCTATTGATAAAGAAGTATCGAGTGAAGACTTCATTTTAGGGATATGTTTTTGGTAACAAATGGTACTTTCACAGGAAGCACTTCAAAAAGCAACAGAAGATTTACACGAGACGCAAAAAATACTAGATGCAGCCAAGGCTCGTCTGACAGACGTTGAAGAAGGAATAGCATCACTACAAGCAAAATACGAGGAATGCATCGCAAAGAAACAAGACCTTGAGTTTAAGACTGAACAGTGTTCTGCTAGGCTGACCAGAGCCGAAAAGGTAGGCAGTTGTGACATTTTTATTTGCATAGTCATCACCAATAACATCAACATCATCACTAGTAACCAAAAGTGACAACAGAAACAAAAATCGACGACAACATTGTTGTGCGTTTTGAAGGCCGTTCAAAATTCCTGCAACATGTTGCCGCGAGAAAATATCGTTAAAAATTGTAATCGTGCGCAATGTCACACGGGAAAAATCGTTGTTTCAAATCGTATCTTGGCGCGATGCGCCATAATGATCACTAGCACCACAAACAGTCAACATGAACAACAATACCATCAACATGGTTAACGCCAGTCGACATCTGTGCTACCACTGTTGTTGTTGGTTATGAAGACCATTATCATTATCATCATAATCACTAGCAATACTAAACTAAGACATGTACATCTGTAACAACATCATCAACGCAAGTCAAAATCGACGTTAACACTGCCACCGTTGATGATCAAGAGTAATATCCTCAATATCGTCATCAACATCACCACGACCATCATATGACACCTTGAACATTATCATCACTACCATCACCATCATCATCATCATACGACATTAACACCATCATTAGCAGCAGCAGCACCATTATCATACGACATCAACAACATCATCATTAGCAGCAGCAGCACCATCACATCACCATCACCATCATCATACGACATCAACACCATCATCATCATTAGCAGCAGCACCATCACCATCATCCTACGACATCAACAATATCATCTTGGTTTTGATAATTTCTAAACCATGATATCAAATACTTCATTCCTAGCATTAACTATTATTTACCATTATATATTTTCCAGTATCATCTAGACACTATAACTAATTTATAATAATGATTCCCGTTTAGCTGATCGGTGGTCTATCTGACGAGAAAGGGCGTTGGCAAGAAGCAGTCCAAGTATTTGACGAACAGATCATTTATATCATTGGTGATGTCATGATATCGTCAGGTGTCATTGCTTATCTTGGAGCTTTTACGGTAAGAGAAACTCTAAAAATACCCTATATTCATTTATGCAGAATATGTTTTGAATGACTGTGAATCGGCACCTTATAACACGGTCAAGGTACGGATTTGGTTATATCTCCTGAACCAATTACATTACTCAAGATCACTAGCTGTAAACGGTCGCGGCACTGTCACAATTGCAATACCTTCACATTCATGGTACGGTCACTGCACTGTCACGGTCAAAATACTGTCATATGTTCACGGCACAGTCACGGTACTGTGACAGTCACGGTACCATCACGGTCACGGCACTGTCACTTTCACGTAACCGTCACGTTCACGGTACCTTCATGGTCATTGTACCGCCACGGTCACGGTACAGATTTGATGATTTGATTTGATCTACTGAACACTTGCAGTGCGCAAAATCACTAGATACGGTCACGACACTGTCACATTCACGGAACCGTCAAGTTTATGTAACCGTCATGTTTCGGTCACCGTCATGGTACCGTCACGTTACCGTCACTCTCATGGTACCATCATGTTCACAGTCACAGCCCCTGACACCGCACCGATATGCTGAAATCATGCATGTAAAAATTTTTATCTTTATTTCAAAATAAAGACAAAGACAAAGACAATTATTTAATAGAAAGAGAATACTCAAATAACTGTATTGATTTCAGGGTGAATACCGTAACTCCATGGTAGAAGAATGGGTAGAAGCATTGACTCGTCTAGAGGTTCCTCACTCCACTCCTTGTTCTCTTGTCTCCACGCTTGGGAACCCTGTGGACATACGTAACTGGCAAATCGTGGGTCTTCCACGTGACAACTTGTCGACTGAAAATGGTGTGATAGTGCAGAACTCACAGCGATGGCCGCTGTTTATTGATCCTCAGGGACAGGCTAATAAATGGGTCAAAAATCTGGTAAGCTTTCTAGACTCTGCTGTTTACCTTTATCAGAAATTTTGCAGTACTTGAGCGGTTATTGTTCTTTACCTCCATTTGATTTGAGTGATCGTATGGTTTGTAAAAAAAAAAAAAAGAACTCGGATAAAGAACTCGAATAATGAGAGAGATTTGACAAGAGCTAACAAACTCTACGCGCATGTGATTGTGAGTCCAGGAATTGAAATCGAGACCCCAGAAGTGAGAAGCGAAAGCCTTACCATTGATTTCCTTGAAAAGAATATATGCCATGTGATTGTGAGTCCAGGAATCGAAATCGAGACTCCAAAGGTGAGAGACGAGTACATTACCATTGATTTCCTGGAAAAGAATATATGCCATGTGATGGCGAGTCCAGGAATCAAACTCGAGACTCCAAAGGTGAGAGACGAGTACATTACCATTGATTTCCTGGAAAAGAATATATGCCATGTGATGCAACAAACCTTTTTTTCTTACTTTACTATCATGTTAAACCTTCCAGGAAAAAGAGGCAGGTCTCGATGTTATCAAGTTAACAGACCGAGACTTCTTACGTAGTCTGGAGAACGCTGTAAGATTTGGTAAGCCCTGTCTATTAGAGAATGTCGCTCAGGAGTTGGACCCTGCATTGGAACCCATATTACTGAAACAGGTCAGTTATTAATAGAGTCATTTAGCAAGACGTTCTTGCTAGCCCCGAAAACCTCCAACTGCAGTTCGACGTCAGGCGTTTTCCTTCAAACTTTCGACATTTATCAAGACGTCATAACGAAGATGTCGATGAAAGAGTGGCCATATTAAATTTCATTGATGCTTGGTGTTTCTCGGTGTTTGCGGGCGTCTGATTCCCAGCGGTTAGCGGTTAGGAGTTAGCGGTAAACAAGATGCTAAAGGTCTCTATTTAGCCTATATTAACGTGTTGTATGGACCCCTTGAACTAATTTCCAATCTGGTGGTTAACATAATATCCCTTGCTTTGCAAAGTACGAGGATATCGCATCATGATGAAGATGATAACGGGGATGCATAATGACGATAATAGATGGTGGTGATGATGATGATGATGGTGATGGATAATGGCGATGATGCTGCTGCTGATGGTGACATATGATACATGATGATGATGTTATGATGATGATGATAATAATGATGATGATCACGATGGTGATGATGATGATAAAGGATGAAGAGGATGGTGTTGATGATGGTAATGATAATGGTGGTAGTGATGGATAATGACGATTATGGTGTTGATGATGATGATGATGCATGAAAATACATTATGATGATGGTGATAATGATGATGATTATACATGATAAGGATGATGATGATGATGCATTATGTTGGTCATGATTACAATGATAAATGATAGATGATGTTGATACATTATTTTGTTCACAGACTTTCAAACAATCTGGTAGTACAGTCATCAAGCTTGGTGATGCTATCATACCCTACCACGATGACTTTAAGTTCTACATCACCACCAAGCTACCCAACCCTCACTACACTCCTGAAGTATCTACCAAGGTTACTATTGTCAACTTTACTTTATCACAGAGGTAGGAAAAAACTTGGCACCAATTGATCATTACTGTAGTGGTAGCAGGATTAGCTGGGTTGGTAATGGGAAGTGTGGTGGCTAAGTTTATACTAAGGTTATCACAGAGACAGCACACAAACGAAGTAATAGACCCTTTTAGCTCAAGTGTATTGGTATTCCATACCCGTGTCATTCCCTACAGTATCATTTCTTTGTTTAAAGGTTGCGCATGAGAAGACACATGAATATGGATACAGCTCAAACAAAAAGTCTTTAAGTTATTCTAAGGAGAATTACAAAATGGGTCAAAATGAAGCCTAATCTAAAGGGTCGAAGGTCGTTATAGACCCTAACCCTAATGACGTTTCATCCCTACACTACCACAATCCTTTTCCAAATATCTATTCATTTTCAAATATTAAAACTTCTTTGAGAATACCTGACAATAGTAAAAATTAGCATTAAGAAACGAAAAAAATTCTGGAAGTGTAGGTAAAAATCGTCGTGGTCTATTGTCGACGTTGCTTCGCCATTACTTGATTACTCAAAGTCTTACCTCTTTTTTATTCCTTGTCTTTCAGTGGTCTTGAGGATCAGATGTTAGCACTAGTAGTAGCAGAAGAAAGACCTGATTTAGAGGAGGCTAAGAACCAGCTGATTGTCAGTAATGCAAAGATGAGACAAGAGTTGAAAGAGATCGAGGATAAGATTCTCCACAAGCTATCTGCCTCTGAAGGCAATCCTGTAGATGATATAGATCTTATTGCTACGTTAGAGGCGTCCAAGGCTAAGTCTGGGGAAATCAAGGTAACATGATTTATGAATTTCTGATCTGCTGTGTCGTACTGTGCATGGTGATGATGGCGCTGTATTTGTCATGAAGATGATGATGATGATGCATGATGATCTTGATATGATAAAAATAGTTAATAGTGATGGCGATGGTGATAAATAATGGTGGTGATGCATGATATAGTGATGATAATGATACATGATTTTAGTAAAAATACGCAGGTGATTATAGAAAATCTCGCGCGCTGATTGGTCAAGAAACTCACACTATCACACGATAATCACCTCGAGCGAAAATCCAAAATAGCGGCCAGCCGCTTTGTTGCTGTTACCGGGAAAAAATGCCTTTTATCTTCTTTTTTTCTTTTTTTTGAAAGAATCACCTGTGTATTTATACTAAAAAACTCGCGTCTCGGTAAATATTCCCCGATAATCACTTCGCCTTCGGCGAATAATTGTTAAATAATCATGATGTGATGAAAATGGTTAATAATGGTATGGTTAATAATGGTGATGATGATGGTGATAAATGATGGTGGTGATGCATAACAGTAGTGATCATAATGATACATGGTTATAA